TTGTGGGAGAGTCTACGTGCAAAGGCTACATACTATAACTACACTGCACAACGGCCCCACAGCAGCTGACTTGCAAATCAACAATAAAAATTACACATTGAGAGAGACTGAGAGACTGTAAAAACTGTGATTAGGCTACTTTGTGTTTATGTTTCTGATGCTAGACATATAACTGAGTATATAATGAACGCACAACACTACCTGGTAACGCAGAACACATTCATCTATTTTTTAACAGTGTTATGACAGTCAGAGGATTAGATCTGATACTGAACTATAAATCAAACCTTGACAGAGAAGAATAATTTGGCCTTTACTCACCATGGGGCTTCGGGAGTAGGCGTTGGCCGCTGTGCTGATTTGCGGGGAGAGAGTTAGAGCCCCACCGAAACCTCCCGGGCTGGCCAGCTCTCCATTCAGTCCTGCGTGGGACACCACGCCAAAATGAGCCGGGTATGAACCAGGGGGCACAGACATGGGACTGCGGAGAGCTGGGGAGGGAGGGAAAAGAGGAAGGAGGGATTGAAGGATGGACATAAAAAGGGAAACAATACGTAGCACACAGGCACAAACACAGTCACAGAGGGGATAAGAAGAATGGAAATCTTTTTCTTTTATTAAACTTTATTAGTTTATACACCAACAAAGTTTCAGTCCAGGAGCTGTCGAGTACAACAATAGTCTTCACTACTGGCCACAAAGGAGCGGATAACAGTTAAGAGGCCTTGTTTAAAATGGAGTCGGGGATCTCACTCCTTTCTTTTGGTTGTGAATATTCAAAATAATTTTGTTTAACTTTGCTCTGATCAAATCAAGAGATTTTGGCACAAAACAGTAAATTACAAAGCAACAGTAATGTCATTGCATAAACAAATGAGGAAATGGAAAAACGGAGGGACAAAAGGATATTATGGCATGAAGGGCAGGTAGACTGGGTGCAAAATATATTATCTCTAGTCGAGCAGCTAAACTAGATTGTAAATGCAGATTTACCATAGTAAATGTTTCTCCAGTAAGTGATGAGGTATGTAATATATTATGTATATTATATTTATATTAATGTTAACTGTAAATATATGTAACAGTTACCAATTTTTCAGTTTAAAATGTTCATAAAGCTGTTTAACAGTCTGGAGATCCTCACCAAGGGGGTCTGCACTGGATGCTGCTTTGCTGACCAGACGAAGGCAGGAGGTGCTGGGACCGGGGGCTCCTGGGGCTCCTGGTGCTCCGGGGGTAAGGGCTTCACGGTGGGACGGGGATGGGGTGCCAGACTTGGACAAAGGAGACTGGGACTTATCCAACTGTAGAGAAGTCAAACAAGAAAAATAATAAATAAAACCAATGGCTGATCTGTGATAGGACATGTAACACTCATCACACAAGGGCTCTTTTATTACACAAATCTCCAGAATGACTATGTCACTTTTTGACCAATCTCAACGAAAAGAGAAGAATTTGTCTCCGTGGTACTGGCGCAGCTATTGTGACAGCTACAACTATCTGTAGTAGACATCCATGTAGCTTCTCAGTGTACTTTAATAGGACAATGATTAGTTACTGTACAATAGTTTTGGGTTGTACAAGTTTTAAGTGCTTTTATTCCCAAAGCAAAACATAATAAATGATGGCAGGAATGGGCAACCTAGGGGTACAAAGTGAATAAGAATACCATTTTATTACAAAAAAAAAAGGCTGAAAATCTTTCGTGTCATTAAACATATTGAAAATTACAGCAATATATTAGCATAAAAGAAAAGCACAACTTTCCCAGTCAGCAGAGTGCAGGAACTTTCAAAGAATCTATCCATCATACCTGTGCAGGGTCCTTGGCTTTCCCTGGGGTGGGGCTGCGGGGGTTTGG